AAACTATCCAGATAAACGACCTTTCTTTCCTTGCTTTAAGATGAGAATATTCAGTATTTCATGGTCCTGAATTCCTGCTGTAGGCCTTCTTAACAAGAAAATTTGCCTGCACACTGTAGATGGGATGATTCTGACATTTTCTGTAACACTCTCTAGGGAATATACTGTGGATCCATGTTTAAATTTAATTACAACTTTGCCCTTGAAATCTCATTTCAGTTCTCCTCTGATCTGAGGTACAAATGACAAATGGTATCTGAATATAATTTGAGAATTTTTTTTTTTTTAAGTTAAAGCTAAGGAGACACCAGTTTGGCTATTTGTATATATTTGGTCAATATTCCCCAGAGTGGGTTAATCCCTGTTGATATTAGAAGGAGATGGTGAATTTTGGCCTATGTTGTTGCTAAGGAACTTTGGTCTAGTATGTGCAAAGGTCCTGGGTTCAATCCCAAAGTTCAATGATACCCCCGAATTCCCAGCAAGCACTTGGGATTGAAGCCTGGGCCTTGCTACAACCCCAGCTGTTCATTGATTTTTAATAAATATGTGCAGGTGTGTAGCCGCCACCATAAAGATATGCAACAGTTCCTCCCAAGCATCACCAAAAACAAAAACAAAAAACCTTTGGTCTAAGTGTTTCTTTTTTGTTGTTGTTGTTGTTTTTAGTGGTGCTATGGATGGAATCCAGGGTGTGCATAACAGACATGTGCCGGAAGTGCTACATCATGATTATATTATGTGTGTTTAATGAGGATATGAATGAGTGCTCTAAATGAATAGTCTAAATTTTTAATCCCATCCATTTTCTGTGAGAAGAAAAATATACATTGAGGTACCAGATTTTAAACCGTATTTATATATTATCACAAAATCCCACCTAACCCTTATTTATCAATGAGATAATGAGTTATTGTTTTTACTGTAAACTGCCAGAGTAATAATCTGCCTTTTTACTTAAAATAGTAAACACTTGGGCTGGGGATGTGGCTCAAGCGGTAGCACACTCGCCTGGCATGCATGCGGCCCGGGTTCAATCCTCAGCACCACACACAAAGATGTTGTGTCGGCTGAAAACTAAAAAATAAATATTAAAAAAGTTCTCTCTCTCTCTCTCTCTTAAAAAAAAAATAGTAAACACTTTTCCAAGTCATAATTTCTATATGATCTTTTTTTGGGGGGGTGTACTGGGGTTTGAACTTAGGGACACTCAATCACTGAGCCACATCCCCAGCCCTATTTTGATTTTATTTAGACACAGAGTCTCACTGAGTTGCTTAGCTCCTTGCTTTTTTGCTGAGAGTGGCTTTGAACTCTCGATCCTCTTGTCTCAGCCTCCCAATCCGCTGGGATTACAGGCCTGCACCACGGTGCCTGGCTTCCATATAATCTTAAGGGCTTGGCAGATTTCATGCATGAATGTATCAAAGAGAGATTTTAATAATTTAACTATTTCTGGATATTTACTTTGTTTGAACTAGTAGTATATAAATAATGCTGAAATGAACACCGTTATATTTATATAAGTTTTATACACATCTCTTATTCTTTTTTTCTTTCTGAGTCAAAAGGCATGAACTTTTTCTTCACCTACTTTGAGGGACAAATACAATTCCCAAATTATAATCAATGATTTTTGGTTTGTTTGAAACAGGATCCTACTATGTTGCCCAGGCTGGTCTTGAACTTGTGGGCTAAAGTGATCCCCCTGCCTCAGCCTCCTGTGTAGCCAGAACTATAATCACATGCTACCTCACCTCACTTTGTTCAATCATCCTGTTCTCCAAACACTGGGGATTGAAGCCAGGGCCTTGCACATGCTCTATTAAGCTCCGACCCCAGCTGTTCATTTTTGATAAATGTGTGCAGTTGTGTAGCCACCACCATCAAGATATGCAAGTTTCTTCTTGTCTTCCTGACTCCACCCATCACAACCACAGATTCCACTGTCATTCTAGTTTTGTCTTTCTAGAAATGCATTTAAATGGAACTCCGCAGGACATAATTGTGTCTGACAGTGGACAACGTTCTTGAGATTAACTGGTGGTATATTGGTAGTCAGTTCCTTTTTATTATTGAGTAGTGTTCCATTTGATTATCCCTTGTTCAGTTGATCAATTTTTGGGTTCTTTCCAATTTCTGACATAAAACTTTGTGTAAACAAAGCTTTTATTTCCCATGGATAAATAACACTGAGGAACAGAATAATGTCATAGAAGTACTTGATTTTATGACAAGCTGCCAAATTGTTTCACAAAGTGTCCTTTCCATTTTGTTCCAATTGCTCCACATCTACATCACCACTTGGTATTGTCAGGCTTTTTTATCTAGTTCATATGTAATGGTATCTCAATGTTGTTCTTTTTTCAATCTTTTTTAGTTGTAGATGGGCACAATACCTTTATTTATTTATCTTTATGTGGTGCTGAGGATCAAACCCAGGGCCTCACACATGCTAGCCGAGCACTCTCCCACTGAACCACAACCCCAGCCCTCAATGTGGTTTTCATTAGTGCAGATTAATTAGCATTATCTTTAAAAATAATAAACATTTTTCAAGTGTTTATTTGGAATATTATTTGAAATATGTTTAAATCATATATAGGGCTGGAAGAGTTTGAAGCTTATCAGGGAGAAAGAGGTGATCTTTGGCTCATTTACATAATGAAGCTTTTGCTTATTCATTTAATTAGGCTGTTTTATTATCAAATGTTAAGAATTATTTATATCTGTGGAGAGGGCTCCTTCATCAGATGTCTTACAAATACTTTTCCCAGTACAGTTTGCTTTTTTGTTTTCTTAAAAGTGCTACTTCAGGGACTGGGGTTGTAGCTCAATGGTATAGTGCTTGCCTTGTACACGTGAGGCCCTGGGTTCCATCCTCAGCACCACCTAAATAAATAAATAAATAAAATATTGTGTCCATCTACAACTAAAAAAAATATTTTTTTAAAAACAGTTCTAACTTTTTTAGGGAAGATATTTTTCCCTTTTTTCATAGGGAAAGTTTTTAATTTTGATGATGTTCCATTTATTTTTTATTTCATTTTTTGTCTTATCCAAGAAGTCTTTACATTATCTATAATCACAAAGACTTTTCTTCTGTTTTCTTCAAGTTTTTTTTCCTTACAGTTTTAGTTCTTATGTTTATAGCTTATTTCAAGTTAATCTTTGAATATAGTAGGAGGCAAGGGATAAGTCTCATCACTTTGCATATGGATACCCAATTGTTCCAGCACTATTTGTTGAAAAGATTCTGTTCCCTACCGACTTACCTTGGCACTTTTGCTGAAAATCCTTGGATGATATGTGTACATCTCCATCTTGTTATGTCCCTTTGATTTGTATATATATGTGTGATTATATAAGAATCACACTATCTTGACTACTTCAGTTTAAAGTCTTAAAACCAGTTAATATAAATCCTTCTTGTCTTTCCCACACTGGGGTCTCTCCATTTAAAAATGATTTTAAAAAATAGCCTCCTGGTATTTTGAAATATACCATGTTCATGGATTGGAGGATTCTACATTTTTAAGATTTCAACTTCAAATTGATCAATAACATGGTATATTTCTCATTACTTAGGTATTAACTTTTCCTAACTTCTCCTTCAGTGTACAGGTCTCACATAAATTTTTGTATATATTTCCAGGTATTTTGTTTACTGATGATATTTAAGTGGGTTTTGTCTTCTTAATTTCAATTAACAATTGTTTGTTACTAGGATTTGAGCATTTTTTAAAGCATTTTTTAACCTTTACTTATTTATTTTTATGTGGTACTGAGGATTGAACCCAGTTTCTCACAAGTGCTAGGCAAGCACTCTACTATTGAGCCACAACCCCAGTCCCACGAAATGAGCATTTTTAAAGAACTTGGTAAGTACTGTTTTCCATAACCAACAAAATGAGATGGCCTGCTTGACCACAATGTTATAGTCCACCAATTGATTTAGATTAAGAATTATAGCTTTTTCTTCTTGGAGGGAGCATTGGACCTACAACAGAAAATTTGTTCATTTTCTGTGTTGACTCACTATACACCCATCACCACTGCCATCTTTTACCTCATTCTCCAATCCTGTTTTCTCTCCCCTCTGTCCATGGTCCCCTAAGTAACCATGTCAATGTATTTGAAACATCTGCTTAAACATTTTTTTATCGCAAAACTTCCAAATTTATTGCTATAGATTCCATTACCGTTCTTACTAAACTCATCTTTTAAAATTGACTTGTAGGTATTTGTTGTCTTTCGTATGATGCATGGCACTACATTTGTACACATCAGATATTACCTATCTGAAGAATCTCAGGTTGGATCTAAGCCTCACCATCAAATTTCTGAATATCTTCACTTCCACTTTTTTCTCCTTTAGAGACTTCAGATTTCTTGGGTTCATGTACCCAGAAACAATTTATATCCATTTAACTAAATTCTGCCAGGCTGCTCTACTTTCCACTCTCACCAGCAGTCCATGATGGTTTCTACCCCTCCCCCCCTCCCCAATACTTGACATCAACTATCTTTCTGATTTTTATTACTATACTGCATATATAAAGATTTCTAGTGTTTTCATCTAAATTCCCTTTGATTACTGATGAGTTTGAGCACCTTTTAACATTGTTAGCTTGCTGGATTTAATCTCAAAACTGTTTAGTCATAACCTTATTAAGTTTTTCTATTGGGGGCTCACTTTTTTAAATAATTATTTTTATCTATTTACTTATTTTTTTCTATTTATTTTAATGCAGTGCTAAGAATCGAGCCCAGTGCCTCACACATGCTAGGCAAGTGTTCTGCCACTGAGCTACAGCCCTGAGCTCTTGTTTTTTGATAATTTAGGCATTTCTTATTTCTTGCAAATACTAATTACTTGTGAAATTTAGACATGCAAATATATATATATTCCTATACCATTATCTATTATAAAATATTAATTCTGCCCCAGTATTTGTTGTAGTTCTCTATAGCTCATTAACAAAGCATCCAAAACCTTATAAGTTTACAACAAACCATTTTATTTTGCTCATGATTTTATGGATCAAAAATTGGGAAGAGCACCACTGAGTGGCTCATGTGATTTATACAGCAACAAACAGGGCAGCTGGGGCTGGAGGATCCATTTCCCACAAGACTTCTTTCTTGTATGTCTGCTTCCTAGGTTTTCCTCCTTCACCTCTCCCCTTAATGTGTCATCCTTCAGGGATTCGTCATATAAGTTTGGGTTACTCACAAAATAGTGACCTCAGGGTAAATGAATTTCTTAAATGCTGGTTGGCTTCCAAATGGCAAGAAGCAGATGTTGTCGGGCCAGGTAAGAGCAATACCTATAACTGGTACATCATCACTTCTACATTTCCATGGTCAAAACACACTAAAGACCCACCCAGATTCAAGCAAGAAATGCTCCGTGTGTGTGTGTGTGTGTGTGTGTGTGTGTGTGTGTACTCACTGAGGATTGATATAGGTCCCAGGCCTCAAGCATGCTAAGCAAACACTCTACCAGTGAGCTCAAGACTACACTTTTGATTAAAGAGTAACAATGTCACAATGCAGAATAACATACTGAGCTACAAGAAAGTACTTTCCATCTTTGGAAAACACAATCTGCCATGTTACTTACTGTCACTTTGCAGGCACAAGGTCCTGGGTTCCATCCCTAGTACAGCAAAAGCAAAATAAGAAGGTTTTAATTTTAGAATACTTCCCCCTCAAACAGAATAATATAATGAGAGTCAACTTCATTTTAATTTAGTATTGGTTTCCCTTTAAAAAATGTTTGGTTAGAATGAAAAAATTATGTAGCCCTATACATACAAGAAAATTACCTCCTAGGCCTAGAGTACTTGTATGATTAAAGCTGACATGCTCTATTGTGCTCAAAACAAAAAGAAAAAAAATTAACAAAATATATAGTATCTTATCTGGGAATAAGCCATTTTACAATGTTTAAAAATTCTCATTATAATTTACTACAGGTTCAAATTCTAATATAATTAGAGCAAATGATATAAAATAGTTTTAAATCATTAATATCTTCTTCTTTTATTTTTTCTGCAGTGCTGGGGATCGAATCCAGGGCCTCCTGTATACTAGGCAAGTTCATTACCACTGAGCCACACCTCCAGCCCCATTAATGTCTACACTTTAAACTGCGCCCCCCTCTTTTTCTCTTACAAACTACATATACTCTAAGTAGTAGGTCAATACTAAAATGAAAAGGAACAAATTGACCACTCTTTAATACATATATAGCTGCCTCCACAAAAACAAAAACAAAAAACCACCAAAATGCCTTTTAAAAAAAATTAAAATAGAGAAACATGAATTTAGAGTTTGAAAACAAGAATGAAAGTGGTTAACAAATAATTTTTTTATATTTATTTTTTAGTTGTAGTTGGACACAATACCTTTATTTATTTTTATGTGGTGCTGAGGATCGAACCCACATGCTAGGTGAGCACTCTACTACTGAGCCACAATCCCAGCCCCATAATTTTTTTTTTAGATTAGTAAATATATACAGAGCTGTGTTCTATTCTTTTATGTGAATTCAAGGATTTTTTCTTACATCATCCAAATCAATCTTCACAAATATTTCATGAGCATGTCAGGCAAGAAGTGTTTTTCAAATTCCTTCTGAAAAAGACCAGTTTTGCATCTCTGTCTTCACTGTTCAGACTGTTGGTAACTGTTGGGAGTCGCCCTGGCTCCAAAGACTAACTTCCCCATCCCCCGCCCCCACAGAAGAACCATCCAATGGTGAGCCCTGCTGGCTCACATGATCCTTCCCCACCAATCAGAAAGCACCCCATGCCAACTGTCAAACCCTTCAACCATTAAATTGTCATAATTGTCAAACCACCCATGGCTCTATAGATATTCGAGCTATTCCTCAATAAAGGGGCATTTTCTCCAAGGATGAGCCTTGATCGTTCTTTCAGTAACAGAAAAGGCAACTATAGCATGCATCTTGGGGGATTTTTGCTGGCCAAATTCTGGCACTTTGTGGTGAGGTTTAAAAAAGTCACTGGCTCAGGATTTAAAAAGTTAAAAGCAAATGATTTGGAAATTTTTTTTTCCCCTGGAAAACAAAAATGTCATTTAAATTCTAGAACCACACAGTTATACTGAGGGAGAAAGCAAGCAAACAGAAAAACAAGGAAGGCAGAGGATAAAGCTTTATGACACAGAATGAAGTGGCAAGACATATGCATATGATTTCATTCATCAGAAGTCAATTAGCATCTTTTTAATCTACATTATATATTTTGAAATAACTGTTGATTTGCTCTGTCCTTCCCATAAAAATGTAATTAATATTGTGACTTTAAAATATTGGGCCTAGCAGAGCAAAGATAATGTATTCTGTCCTGGAAATGCATGCAGGAAGAATCAAGAAATAAAATTAATCATTGATAGGCATGGAAATTTTAAAAATACTTTATCCATTTCTCCCCAAGAACTCAGTAACCTCTTGGGGGTGGGAGATGGAAATAACATTCCATGTGTAAGAGTAATGCAATTTGAAACCACACAAAATGGGTTGAGAAGACTACACGCAAGTCCACAAACTATACAATAAACAATTCTTCCTCTTAAATAAAAATTAAAATTAGCCAGGCACAGCAGCACACACCTGTAATCTCGGGCCTGTAATCCCGGCAGCTCAGGAGACTGAGGCAGGAAGATCTCAAATTCAAAGCCAGCCTCAGCAAAAGTGAGGCATTAAGCAACTCAGTGAGACCGTCTCTAAATAAAATACAAAATAAGGCTGGGGATGTGGCTCAGTGGTCAAGTGTCCCTGAGTTCAATCCCTGGTTACCCTCCACTCCCAAAGAAAGAAAAATAAAGATCAAATTCTAAATGGGTGACTTGTTGTTCTTATGCAATTTTACTGCTCACAAATATTCACAGATGCAGAAATGCTCCAGTAAGAACTGTTTACTCTTAGCAATGGAAAATGAGAATAGAAAGGACCACAGTAAAAGCCCCAGACAGATACTCCTATCCAAATCCCTCCCTAGTGTCTCTATATCAGCTACAATCTAAAATGAAAACTTGGGGTTTTTAAAAAAATTATTTTTTGTCATCTTCAAATTCTATAATTCAGAAGCTTATATATTTCATTTTTAAATGAACACTATAACCAAAAGCTTTCATTTATAACACCTTGGTCAAGAAAATTATTCTTTGGTGTTATGTCTTATTGAAAGGAGTTTTGGTGAAACCATACAAACCCTAAGTTTCAAAAAGACAGTTTTTGACATATCTATCAAATGTGTCCATACAATCTTAAGAATCACTCTACAGAAAAGATAATTGGGTCTTACCATGCTTTCTTTCTAAATCATCTATTGTTGTCTTTGCAAGTTTTAAAGACATTTTACACCAGTAGCAGAACTGGAGTGATGAGAGTAGAAAATGGAGTACCATAAGCCCTCAAGGATAAAATGAGAGAATTCTTGGGTGCAAAATCTTACTATTTCATGGAGAGAGGTAGGTATTTATATGAACATCCAAAAGGGTTCTGTAAATGTAGAGATGAGTTTATCTCTAAACTTAACCAAGTAAATACGCTTTCATTCACAAAGCACCTTCAGACACCTTCTAATGAATCATTTGTTCTACCTGGCAATAAAAATTTATGCAACTTCTTTCAAAGCAAATTAACACTTTGGTTGTGGTTAGTTTTCTATGACTCTACAAATCTAAACTCCAACATTCAGACTTTCTAAGATACAAAACCAATTCACCAGAATCAATGTTATTTTACCATATCACCAAATAAAAACAGTGTGGGTCATTTAAAAATAAATTTCTCAATCTTTTTTCAACTTACGAGTTAATATATATTTACTTATGTGTGTATTTATTTGGGAATTAAGCCCAGGGGTGCTTTACCACCGAGACACATCCCCAGTCATTTTTAATTTTGAGACAGGGGCTCAGGAAACCAAGGCTGGCCTTGAACTTTTGATCCTACTGCCTCCACCTCCTAAGTAGCTGGGATCACAGACTCAATTCCCCCGCTGAGTGAGTTAATACTCTGAGATACTGGGGTTAAGTCAGAGGGAAGGAAATACATTCCTGAGTCTCAATCTATAACTGACATCACTTTCAACAGAAATCACATATAAACTTAGCCAGCTTTGTTCCTTTCTCTGTCACAACAACATTCTGAAGTAGTCAAATACTAAGCAAATCCAAAGAAGAGGGGAATTATGAGACTCCCACTCATCACATTCTTCAAAGATGTTTTTTAAATAATGTATGAAAAAGGTCTAACACAATGAGTCTTTATGTGCTCTAATATACCAACAAAGAATGCAACAGGTTTTTTTTATTAAACTTTTTCTAGATCAAGTCATGTGGCTGCCCCTAAAACTAAAAATTGGTAGCTGAATTCCAAAACTTTTGTTATACCTTATTTCAAATTCCTTATTTCATCGAACTTGAGTGAAAAAATTTCCTAGACCCCAGTGCTCCAAAACTTTTTAATAATACTGTTTGAGAAATGGCTTTTTGTGACCAGTTATGCCTCAGGTTATGTAGTCAACACCCAGAACACAGAAACAAGGCAAAATTTATGCAAGTACTAGTACACAGTGGCAGACACAGTGAGATCCAACTTTGTACGGACAGGTAAAACAGGTCCTGAGGTGCACAGCAATCTGATGTTACCCTGAGATTCTGATACATCTAATTACATGTCAAAACACAGTGCTCCATTTTGTCTCAAGTGTGGAAAGAGTACCTGATACCAAAGAGCTGAGTCTCAACATGCAGAGGAACCCTATGAGCCAAGAGTAAGGTAACACACCTGAGAGCAAACCTGATTTCCATAAAAGAACCCCCGACAACTCTGCAGTACCAGGAAAGCCAAGGGGGGTTGCTCCCTAGAACTAAAGTTACTTGTGATTCTGACAGTTTTTGAAAATTCAGTTTTAGACACACATCTTCCCACAACAACTGCAAAACACCCCTCTGAAGCTCCCAAAGATTTAAGAACACATCCAAGTTAAAAGAAAAGCATTTCACAAGCAGGAACTGCCTGACACGGCCTCTCAGCATTAGCAAACTAGGATAAAGTCCACCACATGCAACAAAAAGCTAGCCACACATTCACAGATTCGTGAAATTGCTCACATCCATGCAATTCCTTACACCCCAGACAATAGACACCCAGGACACCGCTGTACACACCTTCTAAGATTCCAGTTCTTGCATAAGTCCCCCTGGACCCAAAGAAAATGATCCCAACTTAACCCTAAAGAGGGTCCTGAGCACCAAGGACTAAATAAACAGAGCCAAATGCTGTGTGAAAAGGGAAAGGTGCCGGACACAAACTACAACACCCAAAAGCACACTGCTAAACTCCTAGATGCTGGCCAACCCAACTTTTCAGAGGCAGACGGCCAGACGGCCAGGGTCTGGCAGGCTGGACCCTCCCCTCACCAAGCCTGTAGCAGCCAGAGGCCTTTCGGCCGGGAAAACCACTACAGTCCCAAAGTTAACCCCTCAGGTCACTCGCCCACCTCCCAGGAACACAGTTAGCAGGCCCTCGGCAACCTGGGGGGCTGTTGGTGGCCTCTGACCGGACAAAGAGCCCCCAAACCCCCTAGAAAGGCAGAAACAGTGTGCTCCGCGCCTCGGAGACGGCCATGACGGCGAGAAAGCAGGCCTTTTACGACAAATCCCACAATGCCGCGCGCCGCATACAACTCCCAGAGTGCACCGGGCGCGCCGCCGTTAACCCTGTCGTGGCGCTGGGGGTGGCGATCCTCGTGCCCCTCCTCCTCCCCGCACCTAACTGTTGCTCCCGGTTTCACCCTCTCTGTCCGAAACTAACTTCAGCAATTTTGTCCAACAGTTGCAATTATGCCCTCTCGCCTCCTTCCCTTATCACACAAATAACCTGCAGCTGCCCAGAAAATGATCCCCGACAGAGTCCTGTTTGTTAATCTCCAGAGAACTCCTCACAGTGTCAATCTTTACCATGGAAGGGGGACACTTAGGTTCATTTCGTCTCCCCCCCTCGCCTTGATACTTTTCTGGCATTTTAAAAATTTTATCAAAGTCCAGAGATTCCTGTACTCAACACTACTAATTTTAAATGTTTTCTAAGTTCTGAGAACCAACGAGAGAAAGACTATCCTATAACTGCCCACAATATTCTACATCTCTCAGTTTTGAAAGACAAATTTCCTCAAATACATCGATTCAGAAAAATTCATGCAATTCCAAATAAGTTCTAACTAAAAAAAAATAATAATAATTATGGACAATATACCTTTTCAATTTAAAATTAAAATTTTTAGGGGAAAACTGTTGAGTCAACAACATGTTTACTTTCCCTTTCTCTCTCTGGGTAGAAAAATAATCAGAAATAGCATATTATGCTGTTTTACTCCTTTCTGACTTTAAAATGTCAACAAACCAACAAGTAAACATTTTTATAAAATTCAGAAAAATAAACAGAGTTCATTCTTTCAAGAAAGTGCAAAAATCCCCTATTGTATTCATGACTGAACTCTTTGAAAGTCTTTCTCATATTAATTAAAATAAGAGTTTTTAAATGCATGTCTTTTAAATATTTTTCCCATTATTTCAGTAAAGAATAACAATCATTTTTAGATGTTAGTGTATCATCAATGTAAGTTAAATATGCCCAAAATGTACACAGACAAATTGTAACATGTCCAGACGTGTAACTGACTGAGGAAAAAAAATAATTGTTTGGTATTTGAAGCATGCACTAAAACAACAACTAGAATTTTCCCAAAGCATCTGCTATTTTTCCCACATCCAAATGTAAAATAAAATGTAGACAATGTTTGATTTTTGCTCAAAAACATTTTGTCATTTGAAAGGGCACTCAAAATATATCATGAACTTCAAATCACAAAACTCAGAAATCCTAATACGCACCCCAAAACACCAAAGCCTTGTTAGAAAGGTATATCTTCAATTAAATTCTGCAAAATTTCTATTTTAATCCTGTTTCTTAATATTCCGGTTAGCTTATTAGTAAATTTTTGTTCGAGTAAACTACAATAAGAAAATACTTATCCATCATTTATTTTTTCACTCATATATAAATTGCAGTTTCATAAATAATTAAGACAAATACTGTAAGACACAAAAAATCATATATACATATTTGGAATTTTAGTTCATTACATTATTTAGTTTCTGTATTTTTATTATTTTCATTTAACAATTTAGTTAGTATCTAGCTAGGCAAAATTACATTTTTCCCCCTCTATTTTTCATATCTGTCAGAACATAGAAATTTTATGCATATTTTATATATTAATCTCCTGATGTTAAAATATATGATTCATAAGAAAGGCTCAAGAACGAGAAAGAAATGAAACTGATCTCATATTTATAACATGCTTACAGTTCTCTTCTCAGTGCTAAGAGATTATGTTTACAATTAGGAGGTTAGTCATGTTTTTCTTTTATGTTAACCATCAAAATATTAGATTTAAAAATTGATACGGTACATTAAAGAACTTTATAAAAAGATTATATTAGAAATGACTATAATTTTTCAGATTACCATAATCATCCTTTAAAAAATAACTTGGGAAAGTTTAGTATATCCTAATTAAGTAATTTAAGTGAGTCTTAACTTATATGTTTAATATTACTATAAATATCTTTATAAGAAAACAAATACATTTTAGAAATGCATTCTTCAAATTCATGTCAAAAAATCAGCATTTTTCTCCCAAATATTTATATTCTTTTTACCACATGAATTTTAATGCGTATTTTTTTACAACCTAAACTCTATACTGATTTTTTAATATTCATACATAACTGAATTAATATATTTAAAATTAAGAGAAAGCTTATCTACTCTTTAAAATATATGCATGTTAAGAGAAGACAAACATTACAGTTTATTTCTTTTTTCAAATGTGGTATTAGTGACAAAGCTACAATGAACACATTCTCCTTTTTATAACAGACCCTATGTATAATTTCTGTAACTACTTATTTTATATTTAAAATTTCATACAAGACATCAAAGCATGCTAAAATGTTTGTTTAGGCATTTAAATTGCATGTTTAGTTTATCTACTTTAAAACACCTGACTTTTATGTATGTAATTTATACTATTCATGCAAACTGCACTAATAGAATTAATACCAAAATAGAATGAATTGCTAATATTAAAATGTACTCAAAAAGTTAATCTGTCTTTTCATACATTACCAGTATAACATAATCACCCCAAACTGAAAAGAGGCTGCACACAAAGTGCAGGTTCTTGCCTAATTCATCAAATTGTTTATATTTACATTCTGGCCCTACAAAACAATAATTTCTCAGCATGTAAGTAGAGCCCAAAGTTTAAATTTCTCTGTTACTGCCCAAATCTTAATTAGCTTTAATTCACTGGCCTGTTTTTAAAGCAATGACCAAACTTTGAAAAATTTCAAGTAGTCTATTTTTAATTATCACATTAGTTTATATTTATTTTTAGGAATATTTTAGGTGTCTAAAAAAATCCCTTTCTTTCTGATTTTGCTAGATATTTTTTAAACTTTGCACCAGAAGTATAACTTTCATTTAATTTTGTTATGTCTTAAATACTTTAAAAAGATGGATCATGATAACCATATTATGATATCTATGAAAAAGTGCAAAAAGGGGGGTCTCTCTCTCTTTTTTTAATCAACAAATTGATCTTTTTTAGATAAAGAATTTCTATCTAATTTATTTTATTTAACTTAAATAATCTTGCTTTCTGTCATCTTCATAATGTTTTATATCAGTTAGGATAAACACAGTTTAAGTACGTTACTACCTTTTTCTAATTGAAATGTTCTTTTTTCAACTGATGGAAAAATAATAGAAAAACATTTACTCACTTAAAGAAGGGCAGTTTCAACTTAAAAAAAAAAAGAGAGAGAGAGAGAGAAAAAAAAACCTCCAAGTTTCTTCAGGGGAAGAAGCTTTTGATATTCTCCTATAGGAAAAAAAATTATTATGATTTCTTGTATGAAAAATCATAATAGGATGATGGACATTTGAAATTTTTGAATCTTAATTTTAGATATCAAGATTTAAAGATAATTAAATTAAATGAATTTTGCCAATTTAAAAATTCTGTTTTAAATGTTATCACAGAAATGTCATAAGTTTGTATTTTCTTATATCCTTAATTGTTCTGTACTGTATTCTGCTATTGACATATTTTGGGTCAATAGTTTGAGTTAGTAGTTTTAATATTCTTTCACCATGTTGAAGTTATTAACTACCCTTATTGGTCTTAATATGTTTTCTAATATGTAATAATGCCTCTTTAAAATATAGCTTGTATGTATAAAACTTCAAATAAACATGTGGGGGGAAAAAATACAAATCCTAAAATCTCTACCTTTCAAAAGGCCTTTCTAGCTTCAAATCAATTTCCCCTGAAAGACATTATTTAAAACACTACATAGTCTGGGATGGAAATACTAAATATTCTAGGACAGAGTACAATGTAGGCTGAATTTTTAAAAACAATTATCCTTCTTCTCCCTCTCCCTCTTTCCACCCATAATTTTCTCTCTGTTTTTAATGCACATTTGTATTCATTAACTCACCTGCCTTCTCTCCAACGAAAAATTTTCTACTTAGGAAACTTTCAGAATCCTTACACGTTCTCTTAATTACCTGTAAAAACTTATTATTTCAAATTCTAGGGAGGGGGAATGAGTATTATACTGTTTTGTTCCCCACATTCCTTTTCCTAGACCTCTTTTCTAGTTCTTTCTGTAGGATTCCACAGTACTTAGCTGTTTTTTAAAAGACCAACAAGCATTGCCTAATCTTCTCCCCAACACTTGAGGACATATTCTGATTTTGTTTTTCTGTTTTGTTGTGTACACACGGTCTAGCTAAGATTCTTTCTCTCTACTCCAAACACAACCAATTTTCACTTCCAAGTAAAGACTTGGGGGCTTTGATTCACCAGACTCTAGCAATTTCTTGTTTACCTTCTCTATGTAGGCATCCCATTTGGGGTTCTCCTACAAAATGGAATGGACGAATGGATGGATGAATGAGTGGATAATGTTGGAGAGCACAGGTGTTTAGGACCACAAGAAAGAACACAAACCATAGCCACACCCCTCACATCAGGGAAGAAGTCCTGGCTCAGAACCCACTTTTATGCTGTAGAGCAACTTAGAACTTGTAAATCTATATGCACAAACTCTAAAAAAAAATTCCTTTCTTTATGTCGCCTTTTTTTTAGTCATCTAAGCCATTTTCTCCCAAGGATGTGACCTTGATCATACAAACAATTTTGCAAATGCTAAGGGGTTTTTTTGGGGGGTGGAGGGTAGGAGAGTGGGCCTCTCACAGGCCCAACCAAGTTCCAGGCTGAAGCGGTAGGACCCACCAGGTCTGCATCCAGACCAAAAGCTTGAGTTCTGCCTTTCATGTGGCCTTGTCACATGCTCCCGAGAGACTGAAGACTACACTGGGCCTCAGTTTCTTCGTCTCTAATTTGATTTCATCACGCAGCACAACAAGCAGACAGGGGAGGCAAAATCAGGACAAAAGGAAAGAAAGACTTCAACAAAGATGGCA